TATTATTATTATTATTATTATTATTATTATTATTGTCTGATTGCAGTCATCACTTGAAAATGGGTGACTATTGCCCCCAGACCCAGTTGCCTGTAGGTTCTTCTTTTGCTAACTTTGGGAGGCTGTTTCCTATCATGGAAGCTAGGAAGATGGATGAGCTGTTGTCAGTTGGATATTTGCATCTCTCATGTACCTCTTTTGAGAGGGAATCACTGTTATCTTGTAGTAACTATGCTGTTCTTAGGTTCTTTAGTAAGGAGAGTTCAGAATCTTTTCCTAGTATGAAGGGCTCAGACCCAGAATATGAGTATTAATTATAAAGGGAAAGGACCTTCTGAGCTTGTGAAGAATGTAGGTGAGTATTCACACCCAGTAACTACTTATCTGAAGTTTGGAGAAAAGCCTTCCAAGTCAGAGGGTACTGTTTTTAGTGGATCTGGCATCAATCCAGAATTTGGAATTGCTGCTCTTGGAGTAAAAGGAGATGAAAATCCTGAACAGGACTCATAAATTGCCTTCTAGCAAGCAGTGAGATCAGATAGTTAATTAGAAAACACACTATAATAGCTGACATTTCCTAAGGAAAACAATGCCCTTAAATTTCCTTACATCCTTTATTTATTTATTGGATTTATATCCCGCCTTTCTCCCCAAATGAGATTCATTACCCTTCACTTCTGTCTCTGTCCAATATTTTGATCACAGGGATATGTTTGCCCTGGGATTATCGCTGGCAGCATTGGGAAGGGGCAATCGCACACACATCTGGCAAACATTTGGATCGGTCTTAGCTTCTGAGCACGTGGTGTTGATGGATAGATGGCCTTGGGGAGGGAGCTGTATTGTTGAAGGGATATGGTCTATCTGTCTCTACTTACTGATTTGTTCCTTTGGTGTAGTTTTTCTTGCTTTTTGGATACGAGCCCACTTTTCCCCAGCTGCCTCCCATCCCAGGAAACAGTGCAAAAATATAGAGGAGGGCAGTTTGCAACCTCTGGGAAACCTTGGGCACTGGATTCCTTTATGGATGGTTTTTCAGTCTAGTAAAGTTTGTATGTTTAAAGCACTGGAAGTTAAGACTTCTGGGATCTTGGAAGGAAATGGGCTCTTAGAATAATAATAATAATAATAATAATAATAATAATAATAATAATAATAATAATAATAATAATAATAATAATAATAATTTATAGAAGAAGCAGAGGCCTGTGTTGTATAATAACACAGAGAATCCTTTTTACTGTAAAGGGAGCTGCATTTGGAAAATAGCAGTCTGGATTTTTGTACATTGTCCATCAGTTGTCAGAACAAAATGGAAACTAAACAATTCCATCACACATATAAGATCTTATATAGAGGTCAGTATAGAATAGCTAATGTGCTCTGGTTCTGCATTCACAGTCAGTAGTACTGTATAGTTAAAAATCCACAAAGCAGAATAATTTTGAAGAAAGATTTGTATCTAGAAGTGCTTCCAGACTGCTTGTTTTAAGTACAACATAGTCATCGTTCTGTGCGCCTCATGTGGAAATGGCAAGCAAGTCTCCATTCTTTGTGGCTACAACCCTCCTTCTTTAGGTGCTTCCCACTGGGTTCCATTGGACATAAAACAGGTCCTTTGTTGGTCGGTGGCAATACAGTATACACAAACACATTGCTTTAACACCAGGTTTTTGTCACAAACCTAGAAATATAGGTGGGGGAAGCACCACTTAAATCAGGGGTAGGCAACCCAAGGCCCAGGGGCCGGATGCAGCCCCCTGAGGCCTTTGGATCGGCCCCAGGCTGGTCCAGCCACTGCCGCCCACCATGATGATATTGATTATTGTTGTTATTACTTGTTCTTGGGGTTTTCTTGGCAAAATCTCCACAGGGGTTTTGCCATGGCTTTTCTGGGATTGAGAGAGTGTGCATGCATATTTTTTCTTAATTTTAATTTTAATTTTAATTTATTTATTTTTGGTGCTTCAGCCCCCCAATTGTCTGAGGGACAGCAACCCGGCCCCCCGGCTCAGAAAGGTTGCCTACCCCTGACTTAAATGATACTCACCATGCACTGAAGAAGCACAGTGCTGTGGCAAAATATCAGTCTCTCAAAATGTCACTGCGTATGTGAAAGCCACAGCTCTTTAGAAAAGAAGATGGAAGAGAAGTCAAGGTGATTTACATCTGCAGAGATTGTGCAACTGCTCCATTCTAGGAGGAAGAGGAGGAGAAATTGTGAGCAACCAACTGTAATAGAAAAAATGGAAGGGTGGCATGGGGGAACAGATGACAGTCATTTATTTAATTTATATTCTGCTTTTCTCCCATTGTGGTACCACAGGTGGCTCACAACATGGATTAAAAGAAATACAACTAAAGACCTTTCATAATAATAAAAAGCATTACAAAGCAATTAAATATGCTATCCTACTAAGAACAGCACTAATTTAAAACAGTTTAAAAGTGTTAAAACATAATAATGAGAAGCAAAGTACAGCATTTCCCCTTTCAAAGATTCTTCTGCAACAGCCAGTTAAAAGCTGGAAGCTTGTCCTAACAAAAAGGTCATGTGAATGCCCCATAAATAGTGAGTGAACAAATTGAGGCAACTGCCGGATTAAATGCGTACTGCAGAAGCGCCATAACTGAAAAGTTAGGGAAACAAGGATGGCTGGTGGCTTGCATGTCAGTAGGGGTTGTGAATCTGCTCTGGGCTTTTGCCTGAAGTTTACAAGGAGCTCCCCAAGGTGCTGATCTATAGATTTAAGCAGCGTGGAAAGCTCCTTCTAGTTTGGACTAAAGCCCAGGGACGATTCACTGCTCCATTGACATAGAAGCCTTCAGCTACCATTGTAAGGAAGATATTTGGTTCCTTCCTTCCTTCCTTCCTTCCTTCCTTCCTTCCTTCCTTCCTTCCTTCCCAGAAAACTGGCTGCCTTTGCAGACTGCCAGAAATAGTGCAAATTGAGTCCACTTTAACTGCCCTGACTCAGTGCTAGGGAATCATGGGAACTGTAGTTTATTGTGGCACCACAGCTCTCTGACAGAGAAGGCTCAATGTCTCAGAAAAAAATACAATTCCCATGATTCCCTAGCACTGAGCCAGGGCAAATAAAGTAGACTCAATTTACACTATTTCTAGCAGTAGGTGTGTTTAGTCAGGCCGGCTAGTAAAAATGTTGTGGGCTAGTGGCTTGTATGGATTGATTTACAAAACTACCATTAATGCGCATTAGCAATTCTGCACGGTTTCCATCCTTTTTTGACACTCTGATTTGGAGCAGAAGGGTAATGAAAGAA